TTTTTCGTCCATATATCTGAGTCTCATCGAGAAGAGACCTATAGACATTCGGAGAATTTGCTTTTCAAAGATTAGGGCTGAATCTTTAGTTCTGTAGCAAACTGAAGAGCTCTTATTTGCTTGCTATGTAGGAAAGTATCTGCTATGTTTATGTCTTCTGAGCCACCAGATCTTCTACGCCCGAGCTTCTGCTGGCGATCCTTTTCTAGTACCTGCTAACCATGTTTTAACAACATTGTCTATCTCGTAGTAGTTGCACATGAGGGTGCAAATTCTTATTATCTACGTTTTTTAAGCTTTCATGTCCTGCATGGATACTGGCTGGTGTTACACTTTTCAAAGTGAAAAAATTGAATATTAACAAACAATAGACTTCTAATAGACATCTTCGCCTTATCAACATTATTTCAGTATTTCGCAAAACTTGAGAAGCACATACACCTGCACATTTACAGTGAAATGTGATTTAATATTTAACAGGTATTTCAATCCCGATGTCCTAATACATCGTTCTTAAATATGGAATTTACAGAAAATATGATAGCAACTCTACATAATAATAATAACTATAGCAATAATAATAATAATATTTGGAAGAGCTAAAGCAACAATAATTATCTCAACACATCAAAAGGCACCCTTTGGTTTTAGTGGATTATAAGAATTATGTTGCCAATCCTTTCTTTCCATCGATTAGCTATAAAACTTCGCTTATGTTACAGAAATTCAACTTCTGGATGATTTTATCTGTCAGTAAAATTCGCAGTTCCATGTTTAAGGACGCCGTTCCGGATATTAACTCTTGGGGTATATACAGATTTCTTGCCAGTGTTGTTTAATATAGGTTGGTCCAACTAAGAAAGCCTTAAGAATTCGAGCAAAAGGAAATGAGGATATGTTACGAGAAACGAAACACGTAATCCTCTATTGCCCAACACTGTTGGTCAAATTATCACATTTTCCATTTTTCAAAGTATTCAAAAAATGTCTTCCGTTGGCAAGTCAGATTTTATAGAGGTGTTTCACGTTGACGAAAATATTTCAAACCTAGTTAACGATGACAATTCCAATCTATCTTTACCCTAGTCTTTTTAGGTAATATTTTCATAGTTGTTTTCATTTTGCCATCAGTAGATAGCGCTAGTAGCGTGACTTCCTTCTCTTAATTTCTGTCGCCTGACCACAACCTTCTCTTTCGTCATCTGTATTTCTGTAGCTGTAGAAGAAGTTTCTACATTTAAACTTTCGAAACTGATCTTTCAAATTTATGAATATTACTCTGATTTCTATCGCTTTAACTCCGCCATTTATATTCGTTATTTAGCGTGTTATTTTAATTTACTGATAATAATAATTATAAAAAGAAGGAGAAAGAAAGAATGAAATTTTTTATGGCGCATCAGAGGATATGTCAAGTTTTTAATGCTTTCGCTGAACATCACAAGTTACCAATCTGCTCTTGGATTAACTCCTGCTGACATAATATTTTTTTTCTTTATAGTTTTATTATGAAGCATCGCTTTCTCTCACTTGGCAATAAAGAGAAAATTCCAAAATCTTTAAAACAGGATAATTTCGGACTTCTTGATAGAGTGCTACGTGTTGCCTACAATTTTTATATTCACTATATTTTTTTTTGAAAACTTACCGCTCGAGCGCCCAGCAGCATAAAAGAGTTATCATAAAAAAGAAAATAGTATGTAATGAGTTTAATGAGTCCAGCTAGTGTCGTTTCATAAAAATGTTTAATATTTCTAATTAAATATCTCATGATTTGAACGCATTTTTTTAAATCAATCAGATTAAAAAGTAGAAAAAGTAAGAACTGCGTTTATTGCTTTTCGATCACTTTGTTTACTATTCAAAAATTGAAAGATTAAATTTGAAAGTTAAAGCTTGTTTTACGCCTTATTCAATCCCAAAACTCTGGTGCGTGGAGATAATAAGTATTTTATTTGAGGCTGCGCCAACACATTGCTTTCATTTACAACTAATTTATGGATTAAAATTGAAAGATAAATATCTTACATTTTGCCGAATGACAGACAACATTCTGGCGCCCTGGAGATTTTATTAGAACAGTGTTGCCATTCATTTCTCCCTTTCAAATCGCTAAGATTTTAAAATTTGTGCAAAATATTAAATAAATCAAAAACAAATCCGAAATTCAAAATTCTATTCCCATGTTTGGGTAGAGCATTACGAGTATAAAATTTTCGATGGTTTTAGGTGCCGTCGTTTCCCCACAATGCAAGGAACGTACATACAGATTCTGCATTATTCGATCTTTTAATAACCACAAGGCGATAGAAGTTGGTGGAAACAATTTATAAAGGGGTTTCGGCATTACGTGTGCTTCTAGACTAATAGCATTTCTGGCGCTGATAATATTTCTGGCTCATCTCTTAAACCGTACTTGGTGCCGTTGCATTCCTAGATTCCCAAAATTCTGTATCTACAAACAAAATCAAAATAGCTTTTAAATAATAGATTCCTCTTCTTCACAAAACGAATAGATACGGCGGCGAAATGAAATATTATTTAAGTAGGTGAAGTAAAGCTTAGCAGATGTGGTAGAGTTTTCTTTAAATCTGCATTAGTCTGAGTTTAATTTTTGATTAAATTTTCATGGGTCTAGTTACTTGCAAATACGAACTATCGATGCTTTAATGTTTCGGTACTCACTGATTGTATAACCTCTATCCACAAAGTTCGGTGAATGTTTCTATAGTTACAATTTGTTGTTGTCTCACATAAGCCAGATGTTAGTGTTCTTTGAAGATATAAATTGTTGGTTGGTAATACATGTCTGAGAACGTTTGTACATGTCCTAGAAACTCCTGACATGGTCGTCTTTAGGGATGGCTTTCAGCTGGTTTGCAACATTGTGTTGGATATTCGAAATGTCCGAAAACATCTCGTCCATTAAGGCTTATTTTAGTTTTGGAGAACAAGAAGAAGTCCGGGGGAAACAAGTCTGGGAAGCAGGGTGAGTGATTCGGGGACACAACTGTTGGCCAAGAACTGCTGCACCAGAAAGGCAGTGTGGGGCCAAATATTGTTGTGGAGTAGGGTACAGTTGCCTTACTTAGTGTACTGGAGGCGTACAGAGTAGAAGAATACCACGAACATTGTCTGGATGCGAGATTGCTTGCTTTTCGGTGATTCTGGACTCATCACCCCATACTCTGACACTTAGTTTCGGGATCGTGCCTCAGGCGCCAGGTTTTGTCTCTCATCACAAATCTTTCAGGAAATTTGGGTTTCGATCAGCCATGTCGGCGAGATCTCCACAGGCGTCAAACCGAAATCGCATTTGTTTTGGAGTCAAAGTCTGGGGCACGAGTCGGAAGCAAAGCTTTGCGTTTCCCCAAAGAGGGTTGCTTCCTTAGTTATTTACTTACCACCAGCTGAGTTGCTGTACTGCCTGTTATATCACTACCAGCATTTGTACTCAGTTGGTGGAGCATTCTATTCTCACTAGGACCAGCCAAAAATCTATGTGATATATTAAAACTTGTATCAGAATTTATAAAGTTACTTCGGAAGATCGGTGTATGTGACCTGTGGTTATTAAAGAGATCTCGTCAAGGCACTATCCTGGGCCAAAGGTTCCTTCACATTTTGTACATTGTCCGGAATGCATGCACAAGCAGGCTGACTACTTCGACGGGGGAGCCTCAATGGTGTCCCGCCCTTCTCAGAAGCGTTAAAACCACTTATATGTGTAATTCAAGGTAACAGCAAGTTCATAGTAATCTGTTATCAGCACGATTCATTTTCGCTGATTTCCCAAGTTTGAAACAGAACAGCATATTAGTTCGATGATCAACTTTGAGTTTTGACAGCAGGCACATTACCTTCATTCTACAATGAGCTGTTTCCGCACGATAAACGCACTCGCAGCGCCGCCGCTTGGCATACACACTCTTATGACCATGAGCATTATGAAGTCATTCACAGAACTTTCTGGAGCGAGGGGGTTGTATATACAAGCGACACAATAAATTACGTCATTCCCCCGTATAAGTTGTGTATAATGGCAGCCTTGCGGTGCATTCATTGCAAAGGAAGTTCTTATTGCTAAAATGTCTGTATATTTTCAAAGTTTTTTGTCTTGGAAACAGGATGAAGTTCGAGATGGTTATTAAGCTATGTTTCAATCGAACTTACGGCCAACAGAGGCAGAGTGGTTTATATCTCTGAATACTATTAGTTCGATACAGTTCAAATCCGGTGAACAGGCTTGTTACGCCAGTAATTTCGTGGTTCTTTTTCATGTATAACGTCATAGCAATTTCGCTATATATGTACAGCGTAATAGTAATTTCATGGTTTTCTTCATGTAGTCTTTCTCTTAGAAAGTCCTCAACAAAGGCATTCTTCCTCTTGAGCAGAGAACCCTCGTGTGCTTTCTCGTATACAGATAACCTAATTTTTAATTCTGCTGCCCATTTAGGGAAGAATTTCGAATTCATTCGTATTCTGGTACTTTCATAAATGTGTTACAAACTTAAAAACAATGATTATTTTTGTTAGATCGTTCTTAGATTAAATTTAGAAATTGATAAAGATCAATTAAATTAAAAAAATTTATATTTACATTATTAGTTTAGCACATTTATTAAACAAAATTTAGCTTGCTTTATCATAGGATCAAGTTATTATACGCATGTTATAGAAAGGTGGGTGTACTGTCTAATCTCCCGCTATGTTATTAATTGGATTTAAAAAAATTTAAGCTATTTTGTCTGAATAAAATTAGATTTTAATATTACTGAAACAGAATTGTTGTATCTGTCTGTCATTTCTTTGCTGTAAGTTTTATGTTGATGGAAAGGTCAATCTCCAGAAAATGATTTTTTTGATTTAAAATTCGTAGTATTTCAAATATTATATCTTATCTTCATTCTTAAATTAATACTCCACATCATGTATTTCTAAGTTAAGCGAATTTAGATATCTATTAAAATATGGAAATGTGCTTTGAAAACTTTTAGATTCCTTTGAAAGAGGAAGTGTCGATAAATGAGGATGATGAAAAGAATGACAAGGATGAGGATGACGATGATAGTGATGACATTGATGTTGATGATGATTATGATCAAAAAGAAGATAGAGAAGATGACAGTACAGATGAAGATAACGAAGATATTGAATATGGTACACAGGAAAACGATCTTGTTGATGATCGTAAGAACATCCAAACAACTAAACCGGACTACAAGAAAGATTTTGAGTATGGTCCTCCTGATGAAGATGCTGAGACGGATGATGATCAGTTTGAAGGGTCGGGTGCCGGAGAAGAATTCGGTGAGACCACATTTTTAACAATGGTATCGAACAAATGAATAAATTATTTTTAATTTATGAATATTTTTGCTTTACGTTTTTCCTACATAATTATCTCATTTAACATAAATAACTTTGATATACATAAATAAATTTGTCAGCTGAAAACATATATCGAATTATTAGGAAATTCGAAAACAAATCGAATTTCTCACTAAAATAAAATCTATTAATCCCTATGCATCCTAAGATGAAGTTTCCAAATCCATTCAACCCTGTGCAAAAAACAGTAATAATATATATTATGTTTTGAATTTCATTTTACATTTATTTTCAAAACCTTGCTACATTATACTAAATAATTTGTAATGCAAAATTTTATTTCATTGGACTGCGATTTGTGATCCATTTTCATTTCCACAGAAACAAATCTGAGCCAGAAAACCCAATCCCGTTGCTATTCATTTTGAATTCAAAATTTCACATTATAATATTCCTAGCAAAAAAATGCAAACTCTGATACATTTTGATATGAAAAAATTCAATATTTTTCTATTGGCAAGCTTAGAATGAATATTTTAAATACTACAGAGACAACAAGGAGTGCTGAGTCAAATTTTAGAAAAATTCAACGAAAACATATATTCTCTCTTTAATATTTATAAAAATCATTAATCTATTTTTAAATAGAAAGATTAAAAGAAATGTAATGAAAGAATTAGACATCATTATGTCTAATGTAACCTTACTTTGTCGAAATCTTTATTATAGCCCTATAAAAACATACCCCTTATTTTACAAAACAATGTAATAGTAAGGTAATAAATGTCTTGATTACTTTTTATAATAATATATTTAGTTCATTTTTATGTAACTGATATGGTACTAGAGGAAAATTATTTTTCCAGGTCATTGCGAACTTGGACTTACAGATATTTCTGGTAAATTATTAAGCAGCTGTGCGAGGACAATAAAGTTTACAAGTCACAAACGATTTCCTTCTTTATTGACTCCCCTATAAATTAAAACATTGCGAAGAACTTTATAAAATGGTCAGTCAAGTATTGAGATCTGAACAGCTGTTTCCGTTAATCTTAAGGAATCATGCCAATGGCCTTCATCCAGCTTTCAGTTCATTTCAATGCTTGGCTCTGATCTCTTAAAAGATCGAGTTTTGCTGAAATCGCAAAGACTATTCTCAGCTTCGTAAATGTTTCAAAAGAGTAAAAAACTTGAATTATGCTTAGATATATCTTCTCTGAATTCGGAAATTATATCTGTACTTTACATAGCTGTGCTATTTTAAGCATCATTCTACATGTATGTAACTATGTAAAACATCAATTTGCAACAGGTTTGTATGATTTTATACATCCGTTCTGTCACTCCCATTTCCTGTAGAGTCGTTTTACGAAAGTAGCTTCTATTAATTTTCTAGATATTCCGTTTTTCTTTTTCTAGGAACGTTGTTGTGCATGCATTCGATAGCGAAACGAGAATTGTCTGTTTCCTCTTTCTTCGTAAAAATTATGTATTTATTATCATATATTTATCTACCTTAGAATGAGATTGTGGAAATGCTTAAAACAGAAATATCTTGATAATATGTTAACAAAACGCAGGGTTAAAATTATGACTTAATTTAGAAAATGAGCAATTGTTCTCAGAAATAAAAAAATAACGAGTTGTATCACTAACAGTCATATTTAACTAATATCTGTTTGAATCCATTCTACTATTCTGATAACAACAGTAACTACATGCAGTTTGTAATAAAATGTAATGCTCATTTTCATGTGCATTATCATTTATTTATACATTGACTTAATATTTGACATTATTGTTAGTGTACACTGATATGTCATTGCGCATTCGTTTTCTTTTGTGGTTTATAAAAATCAGTTGATAATAGTTTTCAAGATTGTGAATGTTAATTTCCTTCTTTGCATACATAAATAGGTGCATGTTCGAGAAATATAGGTTTCATGTTGACGTTTATTTTCACTATATTTAAACTTACCATTGTCTTTCATAATTTTTACTTTTTCTTCATTTTTGTCATCATACAATGTGTGGTACTTCAAAATTAATTGCTGATTTTTAATTGGAACTTACTTTCTTACTGCTTATGTCTGCCGAATCTTTCCTATTTTTATATTAAAAAATATGTTACAATATAATGTACCATAATACATTAAAATATCTCTTTTATTAAAAAGTATAGTGTGCTTTCAGTTCTAGCTTGGTCTGAATGGTCCCCTTGCAGCAGTACCTGTAACTGGGGAAGGCGGACCCGAACATCTTACTGTCTGGACAATGGCCGTAATTTGGATAGTTGTGCCAAATTAAGTTCCAGAAGATCAGAAACCGAAGCTTGTTTTGTTAGGTTATGCCCAACGTCCACCACTTCAACAACAGCGATGCGTAGCTTCCTGCCAGCTATGAATAATACATCAGGTAGTTTTTAAATTTCGTGCTGTTTAATTGATATGTTACCTTAATTATCCAAAGTATGTAGTTATATAGGCTTTAAATGTATGCCACATCATTTTACATCATTCCAAATCATGAAATTTAGCCTAGATTGCATCAAATTTTATTAAAAGTGTATTGTCATTTTATTAAAAATTCTCGATGTATCATTTGCCAAACGCTGAGCAAAATTTCAAGTACTTTGAAGTTATTTAAATGCAGCTAAACGACTGATTGTAATTTTTATTTTTGTTCGTGGGTTATTAAAAAATTCAAATATAGATTCATCCTCCCGAAACATAAGTCAAGCAACGCCCAGAAATGATATCCTATATAAAAGGCAAATTATAAATTGCAAAGATAACTAAGTTGCTTTACACATCTGAGATGCGTCCATGTAAATAAGCACAGTGTGAACCAGTGACTTGCGAACTGCTAATTTGTCATAGGTCAGAGTAATTTAGAAATATCAGAGTTTTGATACCTACATCAAAGATTATTATCATGGATAAAATGGTTAAGAGCAGCGAACTTCCTTGTTTCATCGCTAACAATTTGTTAGAGATCAAACAAGGACGGATGTTCGATATCAGCAACTGCTGAATTGCTGGGCGTCTCGCATCATACCGTGGCACTGGTGTACTTACTAACGGTAACTCAAAGGTGAAAAAAACCGGTGGAAATCGTGGAAAATATCAGCGTAAACTGGCCAGTTATGTGCGATATGCTTGTATGCTCTGTTGTACCATATTTTAGAGGAAACCCTACGTGAGATTATGACTGATTTCAATGGAGGTGTTTTCTCCAGCGTCTGTACAAGGATTGTACGTCGGCAACTGGCGCAATTCGGTTATAACAGCCGATGGCCATCTCGAGCTTCACTGCTAAGAAGAAGACATAGATTGACGCAACTTCATTTTGCCAAATCACATCGCCACTGCACGGTAAAAGAATGAAAACTTGCCAACTGCTCTGAAATTCCAATCAATGTGAGGATGGCAGAGTTCGCAGGGGCTATAAATCGCACGAAAATACTCCAATTTTCATATCAGCCAGGTGTTGTACCACCATTGGGGGGGGAATGGAACTATCTCGTGGCCTTCATTGGGTTCTTTCATCACGCTGGATAGACACTTTATGCTATGTTTAACTGCAGGCTGATCATTCACACCCCTTCATGCGTTTTTTGTTCGTACAGAACAATGGGCTTATTCATCTTGCATAAAGGTTGTCTAGCTACGAATCATCTTGATCATCTGCGAGATGACTTACAAAGGTTTCTTAACATTTTGGACTGATCAGCATGCTGTGGTGGATTTACGGCAGAAACTGCAAGGTAACTGGAGGACAATAAACAATCGCGCTCTTATCACTTCAATAAATCCGTTCCCTGCCGTATTGCAGCTGTTATCCGGGCAAAACGTGCAGCAACGTACTATTGAATAGGGGGATAATAATTTGTCTTTCCAATCTAAATATAATTATTAAGTTCAAATGTAGTGAACTTTGTGCAGTCAACAAATTATTATCAAATCGTGCTATCAGGGGAGAAGTAGTCATGAGTAGTGTACATACACGTTTCTGGTTTGCCAGACGGTTGCGAGTGTATCAGTGATCACTTAACTGCTTATCGAAGAATATCAAGGTACGATAAACTAACTGCGTAGAACAGCAATTTGTATGATGCGATTAGTGGATTATTAAATGCGCCAAAAAATCCATCAACTAAAATAGAAAAATATTTCATTCTCAAAAAGCACCAAATAAGTGGCGCTGTAAGGGTGGATGCCGATTACTTCACAAATATCAATAATTTTATGTCATTGTAAATTTCCTAGTATAATTCATATTTTTTCAAATCTTTAACAAAAATTTCTGGTAATATTTTACTAAATTACTTCATGAATTTCCGATTCTTTCTTCCTAAGTTCCAAATCATCACTGAAACATATAAACAAAATTATTTCCCCACCCCCTCTGTGTAAAAATAAGAACCAAAATCAACTAATAATATTAAAATAATTATGTTAAAATTCTAATGTACTTTTCAAATAAGGAACTTTATTAATCCGAAACTATGAAAATAGCAATGTACTATTTGTTTGTTATTGTATGTCCTGATATTGAGACATATCGATCCACTGCAATGTTAGTGTCCACTTGATATATCTGTTCCGATTCTATTGAATATCCTTATATCTAGTAAATAATATAATATTAGTCGCCACCAGATGTTCCAATTACTCGCTCTGGTATTCTCTTCCCTGTATATCGAAGCAATTCAGACAATTTTATAGCAAGTTCTCTTTGAGGCTACATGTTGATTCTTTATTTTCTTTCAACGGGTTTCTCATACTCGTTTATGATTTGAATAACGCATTTCAAATATTTTACGCCTTATCAAGTTATTCGTAAATTTTACCTTCTACATAGCAAATGAAAAATTATTTATATAAAAGTAGTTATTGTTTTAAAATCAAAATATTGTACTTACGTATTAACGTAACTACGCTAGCACAATTTATAAATATTTTACAGATGAAAAGTTACTTATCCAATACAAGTAGGTGGTTTACGACATTTGTTTTGTAAAGATTCCGAAACTATTGATATTTATCGCAAGTCGGCAAACATTATCAACATATCAATAGAAAACATACTTTAGCATGTTTTCTATTGATATGTTGATACATAAGACATAAATTTGATTATTAAATAAGGATCACATGATACATTAAAAAAACTCTTTTATTTTTTCCAAATCTTTCTGTAATATTTTGTTCTCTCCCCAAGTACACAACGATCTGTTTTCTTTTAAAGAGAATCAGAGAACTGTAGAGACTTGGAATTAAGCAAACTTGGGGTACACCGTCTATCTACCAAAAGTATCGCGTCTTGTACTTTTTAACGATTTTGCATCATAATTATACATTCCTTCATAAATTGTACCACAGTTTCTTCCTTGCTGGCAAATCCCACAAACGCTTAAAATTAAGCTTAAGGGGAAAAATATCACGATCTGACTACAAAAACCGTTGAAACTTAAAATATAATAAAAAGAGCGAATGCGAAATCGGCGACGTTACTAGCCAGTTTCCTTAAAGAGGACTTCAGCCCTTAGACACGAGGACTTCCGCCCTTAGACAAATAGCTCCCAGATGCTTTGCCATATTTAAAATAAAACAAACCGAATGTGAAATTTTGGAATATTTAATTTTTACTATCTTACGTTATTATTTATGGTAACAAGAATATTGAATTTAAAATAATCAGGCAGTAAATTTAAAGCTGTGTGCCTTTGTTAAAAGCAAATACGCAAATTGCACAACATATAATCAGCTTAAAAATCATGTTATAAAGGAATTTTAGGAACTAGCTTGACAACCAAATGTCTTTAGTATACTCTTATAAGAAAAGTCCCGCACATTGGAGAAGCTAACTAATCGGCACAGTTATTGCAATTTATATGGAAATCAATTCAAGACCTTTTTCTACTTTTTATTTTATTTATTTATTAATTTATTTTAAAACTTTCATAATACTATTTTACCATGGAAAATGCGATGTAGAATGTTCGAAAAAACAGAGAATAGAAAGTTCTTGGTTAATTTGCATCTGCTCAGGAAAGATTTAATAGTATTGAGAGATGGGATTCAAGTTTTAAATTAAATTTCTTGCATATGTATTCACAAAATTCTGCTGCTGCATTTCTTCATCCCATGCTTTGTTATCAAATACGAACATTACTTTACTGAAATGAAATGGAAAATGTAACGCACGAGCTCCAGAGAAAATTTGCATAGATAAGTTTTGATGATGCCATAAAAATTAATAAAAGTATTATTGAAAAAAAAAAAGAATCCTTGACAGACTAACAGAGAATATGTCTAGCACGAAGAGGGAAGAACTAAATTTTGTGCATTGTCTCGTCATGCTGATTTTTGTTATTTTTGCAGCTGATGGCGCTTTCTGCATGTAACTCCTGTTTTTGATAAGGATATTTTTAATTTTAAGGAAACACTGTTATGTATATATTATTGTACATATAATAAAAGAAAGAGTCGGTCTGTGTGTGTGTGTCTTTCGTTCGCGCTGCGCGTAAGCTAATAGACCCACGGCTACGAAATTTGGTACAGAGATGCATCTAGACAAGAACCAGAGCACCTCGAAGCGGTTTTTTCGAAATTTGAATTATAATTTTTTTTTTATTTTATGTTTTGTGACGAAATCGCGTCATGTTCAGACATAATGGGCTATAGGAAAGCGAGATTTTACTCTGCACACTCCATTTTCACATCATCATGAAACGTAGGTATGCACTTAGCTATTTTACGAACTTAAAATAAATTTCGTGTTTCAATAAACCGATTAAATACGAATTTATTTAACAAAGGGAGCTTAACGCCTTTCAGCGGGATTTTTTCTAAAAAAGTTTATTTATAAAAATGTACAATTTATTTTTCTTTGATTTTTGGACACGTTAAACTTTCATCCTTGCGACTGCTTATAAAAAAAGAATTTTGGAAAATGATAATATTTTGTATTTTAAATTTTTTTTTTAAATGAAGCTTCCGAGTACACTTCTCACATCTTTACAAATTATTTTGCCAACAATTTTCCTGTCTTATGGTTGTTGATAGATTTTTGATGAAATCGCATCATTTTGAATAGTTTCATTCTTTTAGAAATATGGGTTTGGCAACAATTTTTCATTGTCTTCATTGTTTCATTTTCATGTCACTGTTTTTAAGAGATTGGCATATTTCATTGTCATTTATATATATATATATAATATATCAAGCAAGATAGTAATTACAATTTTGAAAAAACTAGTTTTGGTCTAGAAAACATCTTGCGCATATGCTGCAAAATAAGTAAAATATAAAAATGTAGTAAGCTCGCTTAAAAGTTACCAAGAGCTGTTGCTCCAAAAGTTCAACACGTTTTAAAAATTAATACATATGAAAATCAATGATTTCATGTGT